TCTAACTTAGAGTCTGGGGGCTTCCTGCCTCTGTCTTTCTTAGATCACTTTGAGTTTTCATGCTGTGGAATTGGTTGTTCTTGATCTTTTTACATCTGCAACTTCCTTGAGCAAGGAATTCAGTTTAAATATGTAGTTTGAAGAAGCATCTCGTTCTGTTCATTTTGAAGCTGCCTTCTGCTCATTTGCAGTCTGAAGTCTTATAATGGAGGAAACCACTCACCTTCTCCATGCTGCTCATATTTTATTTCAAATTCTTTCAGATTCCAGTCAGCCATCTCATTTCTGTAGCAAAAATTCCTTGGTTTTGTAATAAAAACTTTCTGTGAGTTCCTCACAGAAAAGCCACTCTGTATCTTTATGTATCTTTCCTATATGTGGATTTCACTTCTTATTCTGTTTGAGATGGGGAGATAATTTTAAATAAAAAAATCTTTTTATTTTTCTTATAAATGCTTGACAATTTCCATCACAAGATTCTTGTGCCTTTTCAAGTGATCTAAAATTGACTTTAAAAAAAACCAGAGTACCTTGTTCATATCTGAAGTCTTAGAGGTCAATACCAGATTAAGTTTAACCACTTCTTCATCTTAAAAAGAATTTTTTTCATTTTAGTTAGGGAAATAAAATTAAATAGTAAAGAAAAATTTGGATTAACTGCATAGAGAGAAATACAGTAGATTGACACAAATGATTTGCACTACAATAGATAAAAGCCCCTTCTATTTTGTGAAAAAATAAGTTTTTCTTTAAGTTATAATGTACTTTTTGTTATTGTTAATGGTGTAGTACTGTTTCACAGAGGAAATTTAATCAGTCACCCATTGAACTAATTACTCAGCATGTCAGCAGGAAGAGGCAGGTCTATGCCAAATCACACAATCTTAAAAGGTAGGACAAGAAATAAAAGAAAAAATATACCAGATTTTACAGGTTGGAAGCCATGGATCTGATTAAGGGTTTTTTTGATGCCCAGCCATATTGCCTGTAGTCTTATTAGATTTCTTTTGAGAGCTCTTCTCCTGATGGCCCAGGACAATGACTACAGAAGCACAATTCTTTCTCGTCACAAACATAAAATTTGAGGTGTTTTTTGTAAACTGCATTGCAGACAGCATGCAAGTGACCAGCACAGGCTTGGGGCAAACAGCAGCTTCTGCATTGCTTGTCTGGAGGCTTTGACATTTCTTGACAAACAGAATACCAGTATGTGCATGGTATGTGCTTAATGCAGAGAAGTATTACAGAACACCCATCTGAAATGTAGGCCTTGAATTCAGCATCACAGCTTGCTTTTCAAATCACCAGAACCATTAGAATCTGTTTGAAACTGATTTAATTCGCTTAAATTACCTTTCTTTTTGAATTCCTGCAGCCATGAACTCCCACCTTATTGAAGAAGCTTTGTTATTATGTTGGATTGTGTTGACACCAGAAACCATTAGGCCTTCCTTTGAGAGGAATTCTTTTATATCCATAAAATTCTTAGATTGAGGAAGTGAGCTGTTGTTTTCCAGTGCTGTTGGGTGATAAATCTGCAAGTAGAAAAAGAGCAGAAGCTGTTATTAACAAACTAAAGCCAGCAGGGTAGGCAAACTGAACTGGTGCTTTCCCCAGAAAAATTCTTTGGGCATGTCATGAATTAATTGCCTACAGTTTAATTATAAGTACTTTCATGAGCAGGAATGTTGCAATTAATTATTTTTGAAAGCTGTCTTTATGGGGCAATTGAAATACTCTGTATATCAAGTTCCCAGCTGTTATTCAAAGTGTTAATTCACTGTTCTCTAAGTCAGTTCCTTCAGTATGGTTTGAAGATAAAACAGCATGGTTTTTCTTAGGTGTGTATCAAACATATAGAAAAGGAAGGTCTTTTGTGCTGATTTTGATATACAGTTCTCTGTTGCAAAGCTAAGGTACACAGGTAATTTGGTTAAATATTCTGTTACATAACAGACAAACAAATATTAATTAATAGTTACTGGTGAAAATGTAAGCAAATTGATAGTTGCAGTTTTTGTAAGGGCCCAACAAGTTTTCAGCAAATATTAAAAGTATTTGCATATTACCAACTTCACAGTATCTTCTTTTTCCTTACCAAGAGATGTGTATTGCTCCAAAAACTGTTAAAAGCAAGTCCAAAACCTAAACCCTTTACAATGCTGGACACAATGTATGGATGGATATGTACCTACATTTCACAAGTTTGGGGCATTTTTAGATGATGAAAATGTAAACAGTATCTCTGTGATTTTCATCTTTAAAATAAGAAAAGATTAAAAATCCCTACCATGCATATCCATTTGTAAGTTTTTTGTCATTTATTGCTCTATTTTGTTATTCTTCATTTCCCAGCACTAACTGGTCTTTGTTTCTGGCTCTTTGTCCCTGTTTTTACACTTGTGCTGCTTCATGCTCTTGCTCCTGCTGACTCTCTGGCTGGGACTTGTCACTTCTGAGAAGGAGCCTGCTGCTAAGTAGCTGCAGGTCAGGGTGGTTCTGCCTTTTGTGTCCACTCCCCTCAATTTAACTTCATTCTTCCCCTGCAGTTCCTACAGCTGTCAGGTTTCTGTATGATTTTCCATTTCTCATTACAGGTCATTACAGCTATTATATTTTGTGGGGTTTTTTTTCAGTTTGGGGTTTTATTTTTTGTTTTTGCTCCTACAAAATAGCTTCATTTTCTACTTTACTAATGAACTATAGACTTCCTTTTATAACTCTGTGAAGAAATATGCATGGTGATTTCTCCATAGAAAAAGTGTAGGCTATAAATATGGATATATCCCTTTTGGCTTTACAAAGTTTAATTGCTTTGTATATTATGCAGATTCTGAGGCTGTAAAATCTGATGAGAGCAAGTAACACATTTGTATATTCACTACCTTAAAAGAGCAGGCAGATTGCTGAGAAATGTGCAAGTTTTTGAGTGTGCAGGTTTACATCTTGTTGCTGTTATTATAGGGTGTGTAGAGTGCTTGCATGGCTAAGGTTCTTCACTGAAAGCAAACATGATGTGTCTAAACTGTGTATTTCACAAAACCTGTGAAAAGCAACTGGAGCAGCTGCCAGTGCCATTCTTCTGCATGCTGAGATCACAGGAAGCAGAGCTGGAAGGGACCTCAGGACATCCACAAGTAAATCGCCACCCTAAAGCAGAATCAGCTTTATGAACATTTTCCCAACAATCTTAGATTTTTGAGTTTGAGGCAAGAAATCAAGAAGTTCTCATGCTGTGTTTGGTACTTGGAATTATTTTTCTTTTACTGGTGAAAGTGTAAAATGGGTATAATTTTAGATATTTCACTGTGACACCTGAAAATTGTTTGTTTGGTGGTTATTAAAAAAAAAAAAAGTATCTGTAAATGGTCTGGGCCCTGAAGTCAGTAGTCACTAGGTATATAAGGGGTATCAGGCAGGCACTGAAATGCCTCACAAAGTTGGGAGTCATTTTAGGATAATGCTTTAAGCACTTTCTCCACTCCATTGGTTTTCTAGTGACACTAGAAGGACTAACTTCTGAATACCCGTTGGAAGTGCAGGCAGCTGTGTTTTCAGCTATCTTGGAGAGAGAGATTCAGATATTAATAACTAGGAGTCTTCCCATGTCCTAGTTTCAAGGATCACCATATTCAGAGAGATGGTTTGCTTTGATCTGGCCACTTGCCTTGAAGTTTCTCTTCACTGGAGGCAAATCAGAGAAAAAAGAAAGCAAAAGTATTGATTTGCAAAATTCAAATTAGACAACACAGATACAGAATTTCATGAAGAAAGCTGGAAAGAAAGGAAATTCAAATTGTTCATGTGTTCCTGAGAATAATTAAAAACATCTCTTACTTTTTAAGATCCAGCTTACAGGCTGTTAAAATATTTAGAATCCTGTGGCTGATAGCCATTTCTGCATGGATCTAACCCACTTTTTGTGTACGATCAGAATCTCCCCAGGTGTAACTTGTACCCATTACCTCTCCTCTTTTCCACATAACTCTGTAAGAAGGGAGTTTCCATCATCTCTGTAGCCACCCTTTAAATACTGGAACTTGGTCTCCCCTAAACCTTTTTTTCTGAAGGCTGAGCAAGCCCAGTTCTCTCTGCCTTTCCTTGTGTAGCAGCTTCCCAGTGTTTGGAGCATCTTTGCTTCCTTTCTCTGGTCCCTCTTCAGCCTGTCCCTGTGTCTTTTGTATTGGGCAAAACTGAACACAATGTTCCAGGTGTGACTTGAAAAGAGCTGATGATACTGGGACAATGACAGTCTCTGCTAGTGATGTCCTTGCTGATGTCCCCCAGCAGCCAGCTGGATTTCCTTGCTGCAGCTGCACGCTGTTCACTCGTGTTGAGCTTGTTGTCCATGAGGATCCTCAGGTCCCTTTTGCTTTCTGGCTGGGCACACAGCTCCAGCTCCTCCTGGTTGTTCCCAGCCTGTGTGTGTTGCTGTGCAGACACCTGAGGTCTGCTGGTTTTCGTCTTGGGAGTTCTAAGGAACATTTGTTGCTGCTCTGGTTGGTCTGGCTTGTCCCCAGCTGGTTGCAATGATGTGGTTGTTGTTGCCACTTTGGAACCCCAAACTCCCTGAGTGCTTTGTTTTAAGGCCCAGCTCACTGGGTGGGGCAACTTGCTGCCAAGGATTCTTTCTAGAAGAGATCATAATATTGAGGGGTGTTTGTGTAGACCCAGCTTGACATTGTGTTGTCTGAAGCTTTTTCTGGATCTTACTCTATTCTTTGGTTATTTACAACCAATTTATGTATATATAAATAGAATATATAAATTGTACAAACTGATGCTTTTTAAAATATAATTTAATTTTCATGTATATTGATTCTTTATATACATTGACCAAGCTATTTAAAACACTAGTATGTCAACATTATAAATAGGGTTACCTTTTGATGTTTAAATAATAATGTAATTTAATGGAGATAATTATTAATACAAAGGGGGAAAACATAGGTTATCAGGTTCTAATCTGTCAAAAAATAACAAATTCTTTTGTCCACTAGGTGTTGAGAGTGTACAAAGCTGCAGTACAACAGACTCTGGATATACTGTTCCTCCCTGAAGGAAGAGAGTTTCTTACAAGCACGGATGCAGTGAGCCGGGACTCAGCTGACCGCACCATCGTTGCGTGGGACTTCCAAAGTGCTGCAAAAATCTCCAATCAGATTTTTCATGTAAGGTTAACAACTACTGGTGTTCAGGTCATGTTTTAATATTTCATACTAGTGTAGTAAAAGAAAGCATTTGATTTTCAATAAGGTCTTGTGATGTGTAAGATGCCCTTCATGTAAGTTGATGACTTTCTTTGTTTTTATACCTAACACTTAATTGTTATTAAAAAACAACCTTGAAGACTGAGAGGTCTCCTTGTGTTTAAAATATTTACATTTCAGTGCTAATTCATTGCCATCTAAGCTATATTTAGACAAGGACTCTGCAGTGTCATTGTGGTTTGCCAGTGGTGCATGGCAGTGGATGCTATAGTGCAATGTTTCTTTTCCCACACTTTTTCATGCATTTTTGATCAGCTGCAATGAGGGCTATTGACAAATTGAGTTTAATATTCACATTGTAATAGCAACCTGATATGTGCATATAGATACCTAATACAGAATAATCACAGAGGCAAAATTTGCATTTATCAGTGCAGGTGCAGTATTTCCCAGATGTCTAACCAAGCAAGGCATTTAATGGACTAAATTGTCTAGAAAGGCTGACAGCTTCAAAGGAGATTACCAAGGCAGTTAATAGAAAAATTCAACTTTTTGAGTCTTTTTTGAAAACCCAAGTCTAATATCCTATGTAATATAATAGGATTGGATTGTATATAGATACTTTTGGCTGCAATGAACAGTGCTCTGCTGACAAGAACACATGGTTGATGATTTAATGGAATTGTTTCGTGTTTAATTTCCAGAATTGTCTTTGTACAGTATTGGATCTATCAATACCTTGGATAGACAATAGGAAAGGAAAAAAGAAATAACTGTGAATATATAAATTACAGACCAGAAAGGTTCAGCATCAAAGAGTAACAAACAAACATGACTACAGCATCTCTGAAATGGATTTTCCACAACCCCCCCACCCCCTCACTTTTCTTCACTGTGAATAAACAAAATGTGGTGATGACTTTGAAAACTCTGCTTCACTTTTCTGAATTTCACCTTTGAAACCTTTGAGGTGGGGCTAAGCCCCTCAGCTCTCCAAACACATTAGATGCCAACAGGACTTATCTATTGTTTGTCTGCACTAATAAATGGTTGACAGCTCTAAAATAACCCATTACTACAAAATACGCAGCCCCGTGCTCCTGCAGATTGTGTCGCACTTTCTGGTCCCATACTTTCAGACCCAGTTTCTCTGCAGAAACACACAGTTTCATTGTGCCCAATACTTGACAGTACCCAGAAGTTGCTTCCTAGTCCTTCACTTCCAAATCACACAGCAAAACCAATGTGATGTTCTTCCCGCTCTGCCACACAGCCCATGGTGTCCAGTGGTCATGCTGGTGTTCTTCACTCGCAGATGGATCCTACAGCCACATCTCTCGTGGCATCAAAACTAAGCACACTGAAACTAAGAAGAGGTTTGGACCTGGTGGAAGCCTTGAGAGAGCAGTTGATTTCTGAGGGAGTCACCATGCAGGGTTTTGAAAGTAATCTTAATTCAGTCTTAAATAGGAACTGTACAGTAAAGCCAAATCTTACTAATTACTGCAGATATTTATGAGTTTGCAGCCAGCAGCAGCCCACATCACTGTCATAAGGAAGCTAATAATGGTACTTTTTTTTCTTCTTCTTCTTCTGTTTTATAAGGGTGGGATGGGGAAAGGTGTCTGTTTCAATCAGATGTTTTCTGTTCCTGTCAATCTGGCCAGAACTGGAAGGATGGAGGATTTGAGAACTGTACAAAGTAGCATGGAAAGCACAGTATGGCTGTGGAGGAAGGGATATGGAGAAGATTTGCTCTCACGTTCAAACTTTGGCAGGAGAAGGATGATGGAGAAACATCTGGTTGGAGTTACCTTTTTGTAGCTGTTCCTCAGTATAATTATGGCTCAGAGAGAGAGGGGGTTTTGGTCAATATCTAGGAAAACAGGGTAAAGGTTTGATTTAGAATTTGTTCTGATGTAAGACTTCCAGTGGTGTGTAGTGAGTTAAGTATCTTTACATAATGTATATATGGAGATGACTTGTCCTTCCCTTGTCCTTCATGGGCTCTCAAGTATGTCCAGAGATAAGTTGAATCACTTGAACTAATCTGTTTGATACAACAAAACTTCCTTTGAAATCATTTTCAGGAGCGTTACACTTGCCCAAGTCTGACCCTGCACCCAAAGGAGTCTGTGTTTGTGGCTCAGACCAACGGGAACTACATGGCTTTGTTTTCTGCCCAGCGACCCTACCGAATCAACAAAAAGAAAAGATATGAAGGACACAAGGTATCCTTCCCCACCAGGAACTCAGTATCCAAGTTTAAAAGCAAGATAGATAGCAGAGCACCTCTGCTTTTTAATGTCTGCTAATAGTGTTTTATTATAAATCAGTGATAGATATTAATTGGCTTCATTTGCTTTCCCATGTGCCAGTCTATTTTCAATCATATGCACTCTGAAGAAAATAGTTATTAGAAGACTTTATGAATGCTTAATGGTTTGATTAAATAAGTTTTTTATATAGCTGTGTCTTAATAAAGAACTGGAGAAATATTTAGTGTCTATTTATTTAAAGATATGCAGGTTTTGTACTATATTAATTTTCAGTATACCACAAAACCAGCCTCAAAAGTTTCCCTGTTATTGTTTTTCACAGGTGGAAGGATTTGCAGTGGGCTGTGAATTTTCTCCAGATGGAACACTTTTGGTGACAGGAAGTTCAGATGGCAAAGTGTTTTTCTACAACTATCATACTTCAAGGATTATTCGCACTTTGTCTGCACATAAAGAAGCTTGTGTGAGTGCAATATTTCACCCAGTCTTGCCATCACTCCTTGCAACATGTGACTGGGCTGGAGAAATCAAGATATGGCAATAACAAGCAGAGTTACATTTTAGGATGTCTCTCTCCTGTTAGTCTGTCAAAGGCTTAGGAAATAAGCCAGAGTATGGAATGTGAAAGTCTGTTGGGATGTGTTGTAAGCAGGAGAGAGACTGTTGTCTTCTATGACCTCTACATTTATGCTTTCGTAATGCAGTTAAGATGATTTTGTGGTTGGCTTTTGAGCAAAGTGGTCCTACTCTCTCCCTTAACCCTGGAGACAAATTTTTAACCCTTTTGTGTCAATCTTCAAGTGCTCCTCCAGTCCCATTCTATTTTGAGCAAGCACCTAAATTTAAGAAAATTATCGCTCTTTTTATGCGTCTTTTCAATGCAGCTTTCTTAAACCAGGGTTTATCATAGAATCATTTAGGTTGGAAAAGACTTAAAATCATTGAGTCCAAGCTTTGACCCAGTACAGCCATGTCCACCACTAAACCATGTCCCATAGTGCCACATCTGCAAATCTTTCAAATACCTCCAAGGATGGTGACTCCACCACTTCCCTGGGCAGCCTGTTCCAATGCCTGACAACACTTTGGCTGAGGAAGTTTTTTCTATTATCCAATCTAAACCTCCTCTGTCACAATATAAGACTGTTTCCTCTTGTCCTCACCGAAAGCTGAGGACATACTATTTAACAGAGGATGATGTTCAGATCAGTTAATACCTATTCCATCCTCCTGGGATGTTTTTTCCCCACTTTTTTCAACTAGTTTAGCTCCCTGACCTGATCACTGGAGGGTTAGAGAAGCAACACTGTAGTTCAAGGCAAAACAGCTTCTATGCACAAGAAGGGGGAAGGTCAGAGTGCAGGTGGGACTGCTTCTTCTGATAATGGATAGTCTATTATCAGCTCAACTTACTGTAAAATGCCTTCTGAGAGTTCCAGGGAAAGGTGTGAGAGATAGCTTGAACCTAATTTTGAACTCAGTACATTGGTGTTTGAAATCCTGATGTTTAAACTTGACTGTATAAAAACAAAATGAAACTATGTATAAACATTTTAAGGAAAAAATAAACTTTTTTTTTAATACATGCTATCTCTTTTTACTACTTTACTCCTATTATTCTTGACAAGTTAGTACACAAGCCTATAATGGAATCAATGCTTGGGGGCTGAAAGCAATTAACATGTTACACTAATTTATTGCAAACACATATGCATTTTCCCATAATTCTTGGTGTTGTTTGGACACAGAAAATTATCATCATGCTATTCAGTGCAGGGGACGTTCTTTGGCACTCAGACAGGAGCTGGGCTATTCTTCAGCAAATGTAAAGTTCATTAGGCCATTACTGTATTTTTACATATATAGAGATTGTTTGTAAATGTATTTTAAATTTGTGTTTCCTGCACTTGTATTGCTTGGTTCTAGAAAATATTTTAGGTACCTGTGTGTGTACATATATGAAAAATAGTATGTCTATGCAGCACATAAACCATATGTATTCCTAATCATGATTCCACAGAAACATGTACTTGTAGTACATGAAACTTGTAGTACTTGAAACTTGTAGTGAGTGGTGTAAGCTTGTCTTTGGTCTGGTTAGCCTGCAAAGGTGTTTTAACACACACAGGATAATTGTGCTGAGTAAATTCTCTGGCATGGAATCCAGAAACCATGTATAGTAGCCATTTTTCCTCTCTAGCATCTTTTTATTCTTCTGATTTTTCATATTGGCACAAATGCAAGGGGTTTCTGTCCACTTTTGCATGCTCCTTAAAAAAATGCTTTTTCAGAGAAAAGTTTTCAACACCCTTGCTAACAGCAGATTTTAATTAATTAATGAGCATAATGTACTCCATTGGTTTGTAGTTTATGTTCCTTGTTGGCTGTAGTAAGAAATAAGCCTGTACCAAGACTCTGGGTCCAGTTATGTTGTTTGAAGTCTGGACCAAGATATTGTGGCTGCAGGTTTTAATCACCTTATCAACAGCTACAACAGGATTTAACATAGGGTCACTTAAATGTAAGTGACTCTTGCAATGAAAAAGCAATTTTTCTTTGTTTCCCAGATTGCCCTTTTTTTCTTGCTTCATTGTTCAGCAATGATATGTTCAACAGGAGGCTGAAGTTTGCACTTTTTTTCACTGTGCCTCTAATATACAAGCCAGCTGTACCTTTGAATAGAAACTTTATCAGTGGTTTTAGAGTTACTCCTAAATCAAGCTGTGGGATCCTCATAGAAGTCAGAAGGAGGTCAGCTGGAAGTGAAGTAGCCCTCGCCTGTTGCTAGGCAAGCTGAATCCCAGCTGCACAGCATTTTCCAAGGTGGTGGCTCTGTGTTCTTCCCTCCCGGTGTTTTAATTCAAAATTTACTTTACCACTTTAAAACTTTGGGCAGCCAGGTTTGTCTTACATGAAGGATGAGCAGCACTGTAATTGTTCCTGTTACAACCTGGTGTCTATCTCCATAGGAGATTATCTGTTATTTTGTTAAGTACAGCTTTGAGAAAAGCCTCTGAAATAAATGTGAGCTTATGGTACAAACGTCTTTGTGGATGAAGCCTCAGCTTATGTGAACACTTCCCTCTACCTGAGTGAGCTCTCAGCACACTCAGCCTCAGCCAGGGCATGTCTGGATAGAGGAAAGGTCCTGAGAGAGCAGTCTTTGGGAATCATTGCTGAGAAAAGTAACTGCATTTTGTACAATTACCCATGTTGTTCCTTAAGTTTAACTTGTGTGCTGAGGCATGATTCTGGTGTCTAGAATTTATCCCTCCTGAAATTATCTTGCAGCTATAAATTGTAGACTATTTGAGGGGTGGAGAGGGAAGGAAAAGCTTAAATTTGATTAGAAGTAGTAGAGAAAATAAAAGAAACTTGGAACTGTATAATCTTCAAGAATATTGAAGTTAGAATTGCATTTGGTCAGATTTCCAAGGTGGTTGGAGTTTTATTACTCAGAAGATCCAGTCAAAGGTTTTATAATATAATGAAATTATTTTCACAGCATTATCTCATTAAAGTCTCTTTCTAATATAAAACTGATTAAGACACAGACTGAAATTTAGTCATTGAAAATATTTTAGAAGAGTGGTGTCAATTAAGTTTTCATTATTATTCAAACATAAATTCTTCCTTGTTGTCTTATGTAATGAACTGTAATCAAAAAATATCCACAGTATTCCACCACTCTGCAATTACCAAATACTGTTTGGGCTGCAAACAAGGATTATTATGGTCAGATGAAGCTTTTAGAGTGTAATGAATTGTTGGTTAATTAATTTTATTCATAAAATTGTAATGTATAAATTTTTGCATCTTGCTTTAGGGGAAATTCTTTTAGTTTTCTATAGAGCTCTCTAGGGCATCATATGTTACAGCCAAGGCAGAGTTTTCCAGCATTTTGAAATGGTCTAGACTGTGTAGATAAACAAGCCAGATTAATTTTAATCTATTTTGTACTGTACCAAAAAGTAATAATGCCAGTCTCTACCACTTCATTATTTGCTACTGGAGCATTATTAATTTAGGATGTCAGAGGATGCAAGCTATTCAACTGTCTTTATCTCAAAAACCTGCTAATTAGCAGACAGTTATTAGAATCATTGTGTTCACTCAGCTGAAATACTGTTGGTGAGTCACTATATTTCAGCTATTGGCTTCATCTTAAAAATAAGGTATGGCATTACAATGGGATTACTCTTTCTGTAGGAGACAGGCAAATGTAAAGATACAATGCTACATCAGAACAGAACAAAACAGGCAGATCAAAAAATTGTGGGATCTCAAATTACCCATTATCCTTACATAAGGGTCTGGCCTGCATTCAACTGAAAATATTTGCTCTTCTTTCTTCAGCTAGCCTTGATCTTGGTCTCTTAATCCCAGCTCCTCCTAGTCACTGCTCGCATCCTCACCATTTAATTTTCATTTTTTCTGTTCTTGTCTCAGCATCTTGTCGTCTGCATTTAAAGGTATAGCAGTCTATGTGCTTACACTACATTCATCTTTTTGTTTTTTTTACTGTTCTCTGACTTGAGACTTTCAGGCTTTCATTCCAGCTGTCATTAGAAAGGCAGGCAGAAATCCCAGAGCACTCTGCACTCCATTCTTGCCTGTTTTCCAGTTTTAATGAGGCTTATTACTTTTGGAGAGTCTCCCCTTTTCTTAGCCTCTCCTCCGTCTGCTTCTCTTTCTATCTTTGATTACTGCTCAACTGTCTTGCAGATTCTTTTTATTATTTCAGTTCCTACAAGGTTTACCTTGTCAGGAGTGCACTTTTGTGGAAAAAAAATAAGGAAACCTCATCCACCAGGCCTCAGAGTTATTGCCACTCAGTATTTTAGTGCTTTAGCTCACAGAGTGCGCAAATTGCGTTGCGCAGTTTGCGCTTAAATTAATTTAAATGAGATGTGCTCTAAGACCATATTAAATATATATCCCAGCTGGTGGGACTAGACTGGAGATAGTTCAGAGTATCCCCTACTCCCCCAAAAGCTTGTAGGTTAGATACTGTGATTTAGAAGCAAGACAAACTGCACACTTGCTCCTGTTGGGCCTTACTGCTTGCAAACATGAACGTAGCCTCAGGAGCTTCAAAGAGTCTTTGGTGTTTTCCCCTTTCTTTGATAAATTTCTCACTGCTCTCTTCATGACTCACCTCTCTGTGCAGAGTGGCCATAGTCTGATGTTTTCACGCTTCAAAGAATTGAAATGCAGGGAGTTGGTTTATGAGGGGGAAAAAAAAGCAATTTCAGAGGTGCTTGATCTCCAGCGGCAATAAGATGAGCTGGCCCTGCTCCAGAGCTTGATGACTCCTGCCACGTGTGCAGAATGACTCCCAGCTGGGACAGAGCAGCAGCCTAGAATAGGATGGGAATGATGGGTCTTGGAAGGGGGTAGGACTCCCTGTACTGGATTGAAGTGGAGGTTTAATGGAACTCAGCTTATTCACCTCCCTTTCCCAGTCCCTGGATGTCCTACACAAGCTTATTTAGAAGCCTATCAGAAAGTACCTAGGAACTGCACAGAAATGATAAAGTTTTATCCAGCAGTAATTCTCACTACATTTTCACGATTTTGCATAAGTGCCTCTTAAAATCAATCTAAAAACTTTTTCAGGAAGACTTTGGAGAGGATTGAAGTTCACCAAGGTAGAAAGTGCCTCGAAGAAGAAGTTATGGTCCAGATTCAGCTAGATCTGTTTTTCTCCAATTTCCATCAGCAGGGCAGCAAAACTCAGGTATCATTCTGAGGAAGATTTGAAGTTTCACTTGTTTGAAGTGCATCCTTAGAAGAGCAGCTTATGTAACAACTTGTGCTTCAATGTACCTTCTCTGGTACAAACCAGCTTACACTGAGAAAGCAATTTCCTTATGTTCAGAATAGTACCACTTGTTTAGAAGCAAGTAGCAAAGAGTTGCCTCTGAATATCATTTAGATATATCTTCAGCATGAGCTATGTTATTTTTATGTTTTATTACATAACCACTTCCTTTTTTGGCTTGCCACTCAGAGTTGTAAGTAAATTCCAGATCTCTTCCACCTCACAGTCCATAGGAAATTGTTTAAGTTGAATATGAGGTTAAGAATATCATAGCTTACACATATATTATTTTATACATATATAAAATAGAGCAAATTAGATATTTTGATTCATTCCCTTTCCTTGCTTTTTTTAATCCTCACTAAGGAAAGTTCTTTTTTAAAAAGAGTTTCTTGTAAATCAAGATGAAAGATCTATTACCCCCAGCCAGTCTGGATGGTTAGTTTGCATATCTTTGCTATTTGTTTTAATGCATGCAACTACTTGAAATGCAGACATCAGTTCAAATCACATACTGCTTTTAGTACAAAAATGAAAATGTTTATTATGCCATTATTATGAAACGTGCAATCTGTGAACTGTATGCATGTCATGGACTAATTTTTCTTTGTTCCAACATCAAACATGTAATGTTTTGACCAGATATGTAACCTCAGAATCTGGGCACATGAAGTGAAATCTTAATCATATCCAAAATTTCATCTTTTCTCTGGGCAGCAGCCTGGCTGGGCTGTGGGGTGACCTGAGCAGAGCTTCCAC